TATACCGCACCCCGGAATCAACCCAAGGTCGTCGTGCTCACCGGTGCCACCGGGTTCCTCGGCCGTCACCTCCTTAAGCGGCTTGAAAATGACCCTAACATCACCGAAATTCACTGTGTGGCTGTCCGTGACAAGCCCGTGATGCCTTCGCCCAAGGTCTCAGTCCACCATGGCGATCTGTCCGACCCAATGCTGGGTCTCAGCAAGCCTGAGTTTGAGGACCTCTCATTTACAGCTGATGTGATCATCCATCTCGGCGCCGTCCGCTCATTCTGGGACAATTACCACGTCCTCCGCCAGACGAACGTGCAGCCAGTCAGAGAACTCGTCAAGTTGGCAGCAGGCCGCCGTGTTCCCATCCACTTCATTTCATCCTCTGGCGTCTTGCCCACGACCGCTTACGCCCCGATCGGAGCCTCGGTTGCTCAGAACCAACCCGCCACTGACGGAAGCAACGGGTATGTTGCCAGCAAATGGGCGGGAGAGCGCATTCTCGAGCAGGCAAATGCCGATTTTAGCATCCCCGTGTCCATCCACCGCTTCGTTGCAGGCGGCCCGGAGCCTCAGCGTGATGCGGTGACGCCAGTGATGCAGTGGCTGGCTCAGCACAATGAGATTCACAAGATTAAGCCAGACATCGCGGGCTGGAGAGGTCACATTGACTTGCTGAAGATGGATGAGGCAACTGAGGCACTCTGCGAGTCGCTTGTTGGCAACTCGCCGACAGCGCGATTCTTACACCATGAGAGCCATGTTCGTCTGAGGGAATGCGACATGGAGACGTTTGTTGAGGTGAGGAAGAGAAGAACTGACTTGGAGGAGATGGAGCTCCTTGATTGGTTTGGCAGGATCAAGGACGATGGATTCGAGTACTTTATGTCCTCCTATATGGCGAGCTTCCAGGCTGGCGACCAGAACGGAAGTAATGTCTTGAGGATGAGAAGATAGATACAGCGCAGATTCGGTTCGCAGTGGGTGGGCCTTTGTCGCTGGACATAACGCGGAGATGTACTATTATCATCGTCGTTATCACCATCTCCAGGCTCGCCGGCTGAGCGACTGGATGTTGCGGGTGGCGTTTTAAAATCTACGGCATCGCAACCCGGTTGCTGCCCGTCTCGAGTGCATAGGGCGGGTGTGACATCGAAGGTGTCGTCACCTTCCTCCGACGTGCTATCGCTTTCTAATACGATTCGTTCATCTGCAACGCTGTGAGCACGTATACAAAGTGTAGCAGCCTAGCACACTCACCGTGGCTACTGCCGGCTGTCGATCTATAACCGAAGCTTTCGTCAAGCCGGCCACCTCCGAGAAAATCGTCAAGACGCACTAAATTTTCATATGTTACCCTCATATATAGAGACTCCAAATGTCATGTCACTCATTTTACGATCCAAAGCTTCTTCTGTAGCTTTTTTAGCTTGTCCATCCACGTCTTTTTGCTCTAAGAAGCGCTCTTCTTCCTTGGCCTTCTCCTTAGCAGCCTTTATCTGCTGGAAATGGTATAACTCTAGATCCTGTGCACGTAACCCTCGTTGCCGCCTCTGCGGCTCTACACAATACACTGAGGGAGATTATACCAATTACTGCGCTGCCGCAGTCCCTCATACCTGCCCTCTAAGATACCTACACTGCCATAGTCCTTACCCAGCAGACTATGACTAATGCCTCCTCCGGCCTAGCAAACCAGGGTCCCGTTTTACAAAGGCCCAGCAGGCCAAGACTCGTAAGACCTGCTCCGCAGCCCTATCTAAGGTATAGACTGAGAGCAAATGTTGTTCTCAGCCTCCTGCAGTCTCTCTAGCTCCTCCAGCCCCTGCAGGCCCAGAAGCCTCGCAAGATCAGGATATAACTATCGACAGCAATCCTACAACGCCCTCACCCTGTCCAGTTACTCCCCTTTCGCAAGGACTAGCAGACTCCCCTCCAGTTACAGCTAGAGCAGTGCGCTTTGCTACACCACCACTACAAAATCAGTTTGGAATTCTACCGAATGAAGAAATATGAAATTCCAAAATTACCTGACAGATTCCCTTTCAATTCTACAGCTAAATGTGAGCCGCAATGGTACAGCTTATAAAATTACCCTATCTCAGGCATTCTCCAACAATATCGACGTTATCTTGATACAGAAACTCTATATATATAAAAATCTTATCCGCAAGATTACCAAACGACGCCCTTTCTACGAATGCTTTTCCCCAACTGATAACTGGATAATAAGCGGCCGACCTAGAGTCCTTACCTATATCCGAAAGGAGAGGGGAATACGTTCCTCTCAGCTCCGCCCTAATACAATTGATCAAGAAGTCTTATTAGACCTTCTTCTCCTCTAAATCGCTGCATCCTCAGGGCAATCTACCCTGATTTTCAATATCTATAATGCTCCTAACCCCGGACTCTCGATCAGGCCGGGCAGGGCTGTTCAGGAACTTTTAAAACTCCCTGACTCCTACTTTACCCAACCGATTCTACTAGCAGATAATTTCAATCTACTATACAGCCGATGGTAGCCCTCTTATCAGCGAAGTCCCTCTACCTCAGCCGAGCTAGTATCCGAATGGCTCGACAGATCTGGTCTTGTATTTATCTCTGAGATAGATACCCCTACTCATGACAGAGGCAATATTCTCGATCTAACCTTTGCTTTCAGCACTCTGGCTCTCGCTGGAGCAAGCACTAGGGTTACAAGCCATTTAGATGCTACATCAGATCACCGCCCTCTCCTCACTATCCTCCCTTGGGGCCCGCGACACCCTAAGGCCCAACAAAGGCTTAAATCTAGCACTCTAGATCCTCCCCGTTTTAGCAGCCTTTTAGCTCTGAACATTAGCAATCTCCTAACTACTGCTGAAACAGAAGAAGAGATAGACTGTCTTGCAAACACAATTACTTTAGCTATCTACAGTGCGTACGAAGCTTCAGCACTCAGATCCTGCCCTCAAGGGAGAGGCTAACCGTGGTAGAACCCAGAGTGCAAAGAAGCGCTCCAGAAATATCGTACAGAATCCTTTACACAAAGAGAGTTTCGGCGTATAGTCCGTCGTGCTCAACAGAAATACTGAAAAAATAAGATCAATGCAACTACAACGAGCAAAGAGGTATTCAAGATATCTAAGTAGCATAAAATAACAGGACCCTACCGGAGCCCGCCAATGAAGGACCCCCTGCAACCTGACTGCCCCCCAGCAGTCAGTACACAAAAAAAACGTGATATCCTGGCCCGTAATCTCCTTCAGAATTCTGCCGAAGCAGGAGATATACCGCTGAATACACCTACGGTTTCTTCCAGATCTCTGCCATTCCCGGACATATCAATGGCGCAGGTAGAGAAAGCAGTTTTGCACACAGGTAATACAATCCTAGGAAGTGACGAACTTCCTACTAGCATACTGAAAGTAGCATAGTCCCTGATCAAAGACAGGGTACTAGCTCTCTATCAAGGATATCTATCAATTGGTTATTACCTTCAATGTTTCTGTTACGCTATTCTGGCTATTATCCAAAAGCCAAATAAGACAGACTGGACAAATCCCAGGTTATACAGACCAATCGCCCTTCTCTCAGTCCTGGGCAAAAGACTTGAACGGTTAATAGTACGAAATATGGCTTGGACCGCTATCTCCTACAAAGTTCTGGCTAGTCAACAATTTGGAGCTCTACCTTTCTGTTCCGCTGTTGAGCTTACTACCTGCCTACTGCATGATGTAGAGCAAGCTCTAAATCAGGGCAAAACGGCCTCTCTTTTAACGTTTAACATTAAAGGGGCATTTGATAGAGTTCTTTCTGGCAGACTGATACACAGGTTACGCACACAAGGCTGGCCTAATAACTTAGTCCGCTGGATAGCCTCTTTTACCACAGGTCGTACAGTTCAAATCCGACTAGATAAAGAACTAGGACCGAAGATTAGGATATTCTGTGGCTTACCACAAGGCTCGCCTATATCCCCTATCTTATTTATGCTCTATCTGGCTCCCCTATTCTGGATAGGCAAACTTAAGGCTAGATTCGGGTACGCAGATGATAGAGCTTTTCTAGCAACATCCTTATCCCTAGAGGCGAACGCCCAGAACCTATCAGAGTCCCTACAGGAAGCTCTAGACTGAGGTCTTACACAGGGAATCACTTTCGCATCTGATAAATACGAGCTGCTACACTTCTCGCGTCGCAGAGCCGACCAAGATCCTAGCTGTATACCTTCAGTGATAGTCGGGCCGGTTACAGTCTCAGAAAATAGAGTGCGCCCTTATCTACGCTAGCTGGGAATCCTTTTCGACGAGAAGCTCAGCTTTAAATATCACATTAAAGAAATGGTTTTTAAGGCTATAATTGTCGCGAATGCATTACGTTCTCTTGGAAATACAGTGCGCGGAGTTAACCCCTACCTTATACAGCAAGCTGTTAAGGCCTGCGTACTCCGGAGAGTCTACTATGGCGCAGAAACTTGGTGGCCAGGCCGAACTCGCTCTGGCTCTGATACGAGAACGATCTTAAACAAGGTCCAGCACCTCCTCGATAAGATAACCCAAGTAATACTGGCCGGGGCCAGAGCGATTCTCCCAGTCTACTGCACTATTCCAATCCCTGCACTCTACCGGGAGTCAGGGCTTCTGCCAGCAGAGATTGAGCTAGACTATACAGCTGTCACTGTTACAGTCCGTCTTCGCCGCCTAGACCCTTATCACTCTCTCCGCAGAAGAGCAGAAAGGGTAACCCGAACTGGCCTCCAGGATAGCCGTTTTACACGCCGCGTGCTAGCTCTCCCTGAGTCAGAACAACTGAACCTACTGCAAAATGCCCCTTGGATCTCACAAGAGGCACGCGAAGCAGTTTAACGGCGAATCAGAACCCCTATAGGCATATCCAAGAAACAGGTAGCTGATAGATTTCAAAGATTCTACGCCTTTCTTCTACAGACTGACATAAAGGTCTTTACTGATAGCTCGAAACTAGAAAACGGGATAGCAGGTAGCGGTTATGCCCTGTATCAATCTGAAATGCTGTTTCAGCAGTCCTCTTTCTCCCTAGAGCCGAATAAAGAGGCCTTTGATACTAAAGCTGAAGCAGCTCTAGCAGAAATTAAAATAGCTTTCAAATTGAATACTGCTCGTTTTGCTACTAACCTCTGGGTCTGCCTGGATAACTTAGAGGTAGCTACGCGCCTCCTTTCACCTTTCACGGGCTCGTCCCAAGGAGTCTTCGAATCTTTCCAAGCCTTAGCCCAGACCTGGCTGACACGAGAGAGATTCTTATACACGAATAGTGGCTCTGTACGGGTCTGCTGGGTTCCCGGTCAAATACAGATCCCTGAGAATGAAACAGCTGATCAAGCTGCAAAGAAAGGTGCTACTATAGATCCTTCTCTTTCCAGCAAACACTCGTATGCCTCGCTAAGGCGGCAGGCTAAAGCAGATATAATAACTGCCCTTCAAAGATATTGGCAGTCGACGGCCCCTCAATCCTATCAAGATCTTTGGATTACCAACTTCCCTAGGTACCCTGCAGAGCTGAAGCTTCCAAGACCGTTTCTAGCACAGATTCTAGCTGCTCGTACGGGCCACAGAGACTTTGCAGCCTACCACGAACGGTTCAATCATAAAGATGCCTACCTTTCCTGCCGGTACGGTACGAGAAAGTCTACAATACATTTCCTCTTCTGTCGTATCGCAAAGAGACGCTTGCCCCGACCCCCAGGGTCCTCTTCTGACATAATCCCCTACCTGCTTGGCACCCCGAAAGGCGCAACTGAGCTGGCCGCGTGGCTTACAGAAACTCGTTTCTTTGAAGATATTTGCACCCGGCATCCACTATCTCAGCTAGACTGAAGATTCCCCCCCCCCTCCCAAAAAAAAAAAAGAAGATAGAGGTGGTAGGATAGGTCATGGAGAATAGGAGGACCCTGCAGCTGGCATTGACTACTGCCTGATCCACAGGCTCTGCTTTCTTGACTGCAGCAGCTATTTAAAGCGCTGTAGTCCCTTATTTGTTCATAGAACTAGAACTAGAACTAGTTAGTGACGACCAGGGCTTACCCCCTGGCGGCCTTTGCCCCATGTGGCCGCGGTAGATGACTAATCCGCTTCTATCATCGCCTTGCTTGACCGGATCGATCATGCAATCGCATTGATTTATGACGATAAATCGTGCAATTCCGCTCATTTATGACGACCATGAAGCCCCTGAAATTGCATAAGTATCGGCTTCTTTATCGTGTAGTTAGAAAGAATCAAGACTTTCATTCATTTCGAGCATGGTCATATAAACGGCTGAATCAGCGCTTTTCAGTAGACCCACATTTTTCTGCCACACCCCAGCAGGGGACGGCGGGTCACGTGCCTAGGCGGTGAACCGCGGCCGTAAAATACAACCAAACCAAACCGACATTTTCACCATTTTTCAAACCTCAATATCTCCACGAATACGGCTCCAATTAATAAAGTAATTGCAGAGTTAAAATCGCTTACCCCTGAAGAATGTCCTACACTAACCTTTATCGCGGAAAAATATGGAGTTAATTATTTAACACTATCTCGACACTTTCACGGTGTTATGTATTTAAAAGATGATCAGTATCAAAAGGGAATTGGTAAGGACACCCCAACTTTTTAGTAACGGCACCCCATCTGATTATCTAATATCAGTTATTATGTAATCTCACCACAACTGCGCACCCTCGCAATTGAATTGATATTTTGATCAACTTTTATATGATTAGGATGCCTCGTGTTGGCATGCAGATTGGTTGAATGTATTATACTTTACATGACCTGATTGTATGCCCAATTTTCCCGCAATTCGAGCACTTAGAAAGCGCTTTTTTCTTGCCTGTTACAGCTGCAGTTGAAATCCCCTTTTCAACACCTAATCCATCTGAATTTCTACCCTTTTTGTCTGGTCTTTTTGCCTTTGGTATAGGCAGTCGCGGTTCGAGTAGTGGCAGGTACTCAGATTGATCGTCTGGTACTATATCTTGCCTCCAAAAGGGATGAATATCTGTTAATGGAATAGGCTGCTTTACCTCTAGTAACCGTGCGATTCGGTAGGCACATGGAAGGCCCATTGTCCTAGTGAAACCGTTAGAACACTGTAGTAAAGGGGCAAGGGGTGTAGCTCTTTTAGCAATATCTGCTTGATTATGAATAAGATTGAGTGAATAACGTGAGGTTCTCCTATTAATATTTGAATATAGAAAGGACTGGCAGAAAATCAGCTGTTGTAATTGATCCTCTTTAACCTCACGTATTAGTGTGTCGATCTGACAATTTAATGCATGACTAATTCGGTTCCAAACAGTTAGGATATCACTTGTTAAAGCTTGGATATACTTCTTGATAAATGCGTGTGAGCCTTCGACTCGTGAAGTTGCTGAATTTCCAATATGGAAATGCTGATTTGTCCAACAGCGAATTACCTTTTCTTTATAGATTAGCCATGTTTCTTTAATATATCGTAAGGCGTAGGGGGATACTGATTGATATTTCTTGTTAAAATCTTGTAGTCTTGCTTCATATTCGTCTTCCGTTGGCGAATTAACAAGATTCTGCCAGCTAGAGAGAAATTCATCCCATGCTTCATTAGTTTTAAAGCATTCTTTTACTTTTGCGGCTATATTCTTGTTAATATGCCATAGACAAAGTAAATGCGGATACTGTGAATAATTATCACGAAGTGTAGCTAATAGAGCGAGATCTCGGTCAGTACAGAGAACCGGAGGTTGGAATATTAGGGGTTCAAGCCATGAAAAAAAGGTTTTTAATGCCCATTTATATGATTCCTCCTGTTCATTTTGCATAAAACAGAATGCAATACTGAACGTTGTATTTGATGGTGAAACACCTATAATATGAAGTAATGGCATTTCGTAGCGATTTGTCTTATATGTGCAATCTAAAATAAATACTCTATTATACTGATTAGCGTAACGAATTGATTCAGGGTGAGCAAACATAAAAAAGGTAATACGTCCCTCTATATCTTGTTTGAATGCAAACTTCCACTGATGGATATATAGTTGATCTTGAAGATATTGAATTGGCGTACGGCCATCAAGTTGTTGACAAAGAAAATATTTTCTAAGGTTATATACATCCATTGGTGTTATCAAAATTGTAGGATCGCTCTTTTTAATCAAGCTAATGATTTGCCGTGGAGGGATATTCTCATCAAGATAATGGTAGATAGTAGCCTGCTGTTCCTGGGTAATTGTACGCGCTGCTGGATGTGCTATCATATTATTCTCAAGCTCATGATTATGTTCAGGATTACTCACTTTTATATGCCACTTTCCATCTGAAGTTTTAGCATTAGACTTGCTGGCGTATAGACGAAAACTACATCCAATTCGTTTTGTACTAGTCTTCCGGCGCTTTGCACCCTCTGCTGCATTGATTCGATCTGTATACTGGCCACCACGATCACATCCAATGCAGATGTTTCTATCAGGGTTTGACCTGATTGTGGTAATAGCGTAGCCTTGCGAAATTGCATAGTTGCGGAGAGCTGTAAGCATCTCCTCACGGGAATCGTAGGCTTGAGCAAATGGGGTTGCCATAGTTAAAATTGAGTGAGAAGATGAGTGGGTAGAGATGTTAATTCAAATAATGAGTCAACAGATTGATAGATTTAAAAGAGAAGCATTATGACAATAACAATAATTAGGTGTATACTGTTGCTACAGTAATTAGTTAGATGGAATGGAATGGGGTATGATCGTGATAAGATTACATAATAACTGATATTAGATAATCAGATGGGGTGCCGTTACTAAAAAGTTGGGGTGTCCTTACCAATTCCCGTATCAAAACCAGCGATTACTTAATAACTAGTAAACGAAAGCTCTTATTTTAAATATTAATGAATGAAGCGAACGAGGCCTTTATATTTCGTATAAGATATTATGAAATAAATATTATTTACAAGATTAGTGGAAATCGACCAGGAAAATAATGGCCGAGCCGCTTTATAAAATAACATAGCGATAAACTTCTATAACAGGAATCGATTCATCTCGCAAACGGGCAGATTCAGCATAGAAATACACTTTATATTTTGAACTTTGATTGGTGACCTCGCGCAGTCAAGAGGGACAAAGAAGAGTATGGTTTGGCCGTAATGGGCCACCTGTCGCTGCGGTTTTTGACTCTAGCGTCAGATAGGGCCCAAATGACCCGGGCCAAACTAGGATGGTGGAGGGAGCGGTGGCGGAATCAGTAGAGATAGCGGAGCCGGCGAGCCTGTCTGGAACTGGTGATTGAGCTTATACAGTACTGACGAGTTTGTTGTAAAATACACCCTGAATACCTCCGAGGTCCATCTCCCAAGCACTTGGATCTGGTCGTCGAGGATCCCACTATTGTGTGCATGTTGAACCGCACCCTTCCGAAGGCCTGAGTAGCCGTCTATCTGTATCCCGAGTGCTCTTAGCTTAGTAGATAAAGTAGAGAGGAAATTGTTGCGACTGAATGGTTTTCGGGGAAGGAAAATAGCGGGGTATCGGGCCCTTTAGAGTCAAGAAGTAGTAGCTTCTTGTCACGGGCTTGACATTGGGTAGGTGCGCTTCTACCCGCCAAGACCGTTTTAGTAGGTCTGTGGGACGGCTACCGACTGAGCTACTAAAAAGACCAGAATACCAAGTCGACAACTTGGTACGCGCATCACTCTATATAGTGGTTCCTGGTCAGTTCGTCACAGCGAGGTCTACTTGTCTCCTCTATATTAAACCTAAGAACCTTCTCTTTATAACTAATTTCATCCCGATTCTGTCTAGACTTCATGACCGTGTCCGCAGAAGCGATAGGTCTAATATATATAGAGATTGGTATCGCTTCCAAGGCCTTGCGATATCGGACTTGTTGATCTTGGTCGTAATCCAGCTTGTTACAGTCCTTCCCTATTATCTCTTCGCAGATTTACTCAGGTGCATCACTTCCGAAATAGGAGTACCCAGCAGAAGCATCACTATAATGCTTATGAAGATAGTGGGCCTTGAAAAGTATGTTATTAACTTTTGGATGAATCTACTTGATCCCGGTTTGTTGAAGGGTGTGAAGATACTACTGCGCCTGATGCTGAAGTTCACTGCGAGTGTTTTCCGCACGAAGGGCATTTAAAAGAGCCCGGACCTCTCGACCTGGCCTGTCCAGCGTGTCCTTGACCCCAGTATTCCGTTGAAACCCACCAGGGTATTGTCTGCCAAAGTAATATTCGATCAGGAGACAAAGCGTGCCCGGTAGACAGACTTCAGAAGTGTGACGAACTGACCAAGAACCACTATATAGAGTGATGCGCGTACCAAGTTGTCGACTTGGTATTCTGGTCTTTTTAGTAGCTCAGTCGGTAGCCGTCCCACAGACCTACTAAAACGGTCTTGGCGGGTAGAAGCGCACCTACCCAATGTCAAGCCCGTGACACTCGCCACGACCCTGATATTGGGTCCCTCCTACCGACTCGCGACCCGGACCTGGACGGTTCCGGGTCCGAGCTTTACAACCCGGACCGACCCTCAGGGTCATAAAATTTCGTCAGGGTCACCCTGACTACGACCCTGACTACCCTGAATTTCATAATTATTTTACGCCTTTCCTGATTAGGATGGATAAATTCGCTGACATATCATTATATATTAACTAACTAGTTACTGTTTCTTATACCTGTTCTGTATGTCTAGCTACGATTCTATTAATTTTCATCCATGTCACGGCCAGCGCGTGGCCGTGATCACGAGGTTACTGCCGCAGTGTTGACCGCCTGCTAGATGCAGATTCGCATCTGGCGAGGCTATCTGTCAACCGTATGTGACCGCTAGTCACATAGGAAACCTTCCTATTCCGGATATCGGTATTGGTAACACCGATCCCCGAGGATTATGCAGATTTTTCTGTTATTTCCATGGTTCAAAAGTTATATCTCTTCTAGTTGCCTTTTTCAGGCTAGATTGCTTATTAATTTTTCATGTATTTAAACTACCGTGTGCAGCTAGATTGAAAGAATCAGACCTTCATCATTCGATATTCCTATGGGTAACATTACTAGCAATTACGCCTAGAGAAACGGCCAACAGTTATAAGCCCGGTCCTCTATCAACATTCTATTTGATAATTTTCCTCTGAAGCTATCACGTTATCTAGACGTTGAATTGCTGAATAATCGAATCGAAAATTCCGATATGTTGGAACGCCACTCTGCCGCGAAGGTCTCAGTCACCTTGAGAACAAGGGATGACTGGCAGAGTTGGATTGAAGACATAAAATCGATTGCCTTATTAGGCAAAGTATGGGGATATATTGATCCTAGCAAGGCAGAGGCTGAGCTAGAACAAATCCCTAAGGAACCGCAGATTCCTGCAGATACAGCAACATCTGCAGAGATTAAGGTATTTGAGATCAAATACAACCGATACCAACGAATTGAACGTGGAGTCGCTGCGATCAGCGAAGCTATCCACAATTCAATAAGTGTTTCGTTGAAGCACTTTTACATCAACAACCGGGAGTCACCGTACAAGGTTTTAAGTGCTTTGAAAAAGCAATTTGCTCCCAATGATGATGAGCTCAAGATGATGGCTATTCGACGCTATCAGCGAGCTAGATCGACGCCGATTAAACAGTCAAATCCCGAAAATTAGCTTACCGAATTCGAAAGCGCTTATTATGGAATGAAACACCATGATCTTCCTGAAGCGCAGGATATGTATGTGATCAGAGACTTCCTAGGTGCAGTTATGAAAACTTCAAAGGAATGGGTCATGATCAGACGAAACCTATTGCATCAGTCAGAATATAAGAGCCAAACGATTACGGATACGATAGCAGTTTACCGAGAGTATCTATCAGATGAAGTACTCTATCAAGATACCAATCTGAATGTTGCATTCGCTGCCAATCCAACGCTTCAAGGAACCGGGATTCCGGATCAGTCAAACCAATCGAATCAATCGAATCAATCGAACCAGTCAAATACAACAAAATTTGTACCAAATTGCGCATGTGGCAAGAAACACTTCTTCAAAGAATGCCCGTACGTGGTCAAATCATTGCGAAAGGCAGGCTTCGTGGAAGATCCAGAAATCAGGACGAAATTCGATGATATCCTGAGGACCCCAGGTGGAAGAAACAACATGTTGAAAAAAGCAATGGAACTGAATAAGCAAGCTGGAGAGGAACATGCCATGGCTGCTATATCGGTAGGATTCTCTGCAACGGAGATTTCGCTGAAGGATAGTTTTATCCTAGATTCGGGTGCCTCAGTGCATATTTGCAATGACAAAGCAAGGTTCAAGCAGTTGAAGCAGGAGCCAGGGGGCTATCTGCGTGCTGGTGACACTACCGTGCCAATTGAGGGTACTGGAGTAGTTGAAATATCACCAAACTGCAAAGGAACCGAGGATGTTTTGATATCTCTGCATGAGGTTGCCTATATGCCAGGTTTTCATACTAATATCGTCTCAGCAAGTCGCATGAAGCGGGCAGGCTATATATAGGACTTTACGAGAGATAGAGTATTGAAAAACGGCAGAAAGATCTTCAGGCTTGCAGAATATCAAGGACTTTGGGTCATGGAGCAAAACAGAAGAAATAAGAATTCTGAATTGACCAATGAGGATGCTTATTCAGTGAGGTTGAATCCCCATGTTAAGCACTCCGCTAAACCTTTGAAATTAGCAGGAAATGCAGATAGGTGGCACAAGCGATACAGTCACCTAAATCATGAAGCTATTCGACATCTGCCGAAAGCTGTTGAGGGTATTCAAATCGATGATTTTGAAGCACCCAAGGACTGCGAAACATGCAGATATTCAAACGCTCCACGTCAGATTTCTCGAAGACCAGCAACCCGAGCAACTCGACCATTTGAGAGGGTTCATTTTGACCTTATCGAGTATAATATGGCATGGAACGGAGACCGTTGGTGTACGCACTTTTATGATGAATTTACCCATATGCATTTTGCATACACACATGCAAAGAAAAATGGCTGTGTAGATGCTGCAGTGCATCTAGTCTCTTTGATTGAACGCCAGTTCAAGATGAAAGTGCAATTTTACAAGTCAGATAATGAACAGACCCTTGGAAGAGACTTTTATACTTTTACTGACTTAGAAGGTATCATTCATGAGACATCTGTGGTTACGACACCCGAGCAGAACGGCCCTGCAGAACGCTCAGGGGGTGTTTTAATCTCGCGAGCAAGGCATATAACGATCGAGGCAAGGTTACCACTTGATATGTGGCCAGTTTCGGTAAACGCAGCAGCATATATACTGAATCGAATGCCGACAAAGACATTAGGATGGAAAACGCCGTTCGAGAAGGCCACTGGGAAACGTCCCAATATGGCAAACCTGTATACGTTTGGCTGCAGAGCCTACGTACGAGATCAGTCATTGAATCAGAAAAACAAGACACTGAAAACGAAACCGCGAGCGCTAGGGGGCTACTTAGTCGGATATAAAGCCTCAAACATATGGCTTATCTGGATCCCAAGCAAGCAACGAATCGAAGCAGCGAGGGATGTTATATTTGATGAATCAAAGCTTTATGATCCGAATCAACCATTCTTGGAGGATGAGATTGCGGAGGAATCGCCATTTCCACCAATTGAAACGACCGAAATCAACCGACATGATGAATGGGAACCGTTGGAGGTTAGGGATGAAGTTGAAATGATACCCGAGAGGGTGGCCAATGATTCTGCCGTAGAGAGCGGTCAGATTTCAGCCAATCAAAATGCTCAGAGCTGTCAGAATAAGGTTAGGTCACCTGGCCAAGTCCCACAACCTTATCTTACCCCGGAATCAACTCCAGCTTCAATGCCAGGATCATGGGATTTTGACACTACAACAGATCAGGCAGATCGAACAGATCAGGATCGAACAGATCAAGCAGATCGAACAGATTCACTAAACCAGTGGTTGCTTCAATCGCTCGAAGAAGCTACGCAAGCAGCTACAGAAGGAGATATTGATCGCGATACTACTCCGACGCCAGTATCACGCTCAGGGGGTGGAATCCAGGAATCTCAACCTCCTGAAGCAGCTGTACGGCCAATCAGAAGACGGAATCGAGAAGGATTAGATCAATCATTGATTATTGAAGGCAAACGTGAACGTCGAGCAAATCGAGATTCGAACTATAAATATGGAAGCTTTGTACAAGCTATCAAACTGCCTGAAGCATCAGAGAATGCTCTTCACGCAGCATTTACTGCAGTCTTAAACAGACAAATTTATCGATCTGAATTACCCCCACCACCGCGAAATTGGAATGAATTGCTCAAGCATCCATTGAAGGATGATTTCATCCTTGCTGCAAGCAAGGAACATGCAGGATTAAAGCAGAAAGATACTTTTAAAGTTGTCAATATCAGTGAAGCTGCAGATCAAGAGATTTTGCCAGTTATATGGGTATTTACCTATAAATTCGACGAAAATGGCAACTATCTCAAGGCTAAGGCACGAATTTGTGTACGAGGAGATCTTCAGGCACGATCAACAGAGGAAAATCGTGCAGGAACAGCTTCCGCGAGGATCTTCAGAACTTTAATGGCTTTAGTTGCTGCATTTGATCTTGATACAGACCAAAAAGATGCAGTTAATGCATTTTTGAACGCCTTTTTGGATCAGGTGGTATATGCAAGGATGCCAGAAGGATTCAAGTAACCAGGAAAGATCTGGAAGGTCTTAAGAGCACTATATGGCCTTCGAAAATCACCTCGATTATGGCAGAAAGAGCTATCCGCAATGCTTCAAGAATATGGACTTGAATCTATCCCTGAGGAAGAGTGTCTCTTTATAAGTGCCAACTTACTAGTCCTTTTCTACGTGGATGATATTATTATCATCAATCGGCCTACTCCAGAAGCCCGCGCAGAGGCAAAACGATTCAAAATTGCCCTAGCGGCTCGCTATGAGCTAAGACACATGGGAGAAGTTGCATGGTTTCTGAACATTCGAGTTATTCGAGATCGACCGAATAAGAAGCTATGGCTTTGTCAAGATGCTTATATGGAGCAAATGGCTGCGAAATTTCACCTTAACGACTTGACTAGATGGCCTGAAACGCCTTTACGTACGAATATCGAACTACTTCTCAATGAAGAGCAAGCTACACCAGGTCGAATCCATGAATATCAGCAGAAAACTGGTTCCGCTCTATTTCCAACCATTATTACTAGGCCTGATGCAGCCCTAGCAGTCAACGAACTATCGAGATTCTCAAAGAACCCTTCGCCGACTCATATAGAGGCAATCAATCGAGTTATTGCTTATCTCTATGACACCCGCTATCTAGCACTTGAGTTCAGCGCCAGCGAGCATGCAGACGAGGTCTACATTACTGCAAGTGATGCTTCATTTGCTAATAATGAAGATAGGAAGAGTACTGGAGGATATCTCTGCAAGCTATTTGGAGGTCCAATTGAATGGAAATCGGGCAAACAACGCGCAGTCACTACGTCAACTACTGAAACAGAATATGTGGCACTTGCAGAAGCTGCTAAAGCAACATATTGGTGGCGCAGAGTCTTCAAATCATTGGAGTTTGACCCAGGTCATTCGTTTGCTATCTATTGTGACAACAGGCAGACCATTGATCTGCTTACCAAGGATACTGCACAACGGAGCAAGTTACGCCATGTTAATATTAACAGATCATGGCTTCGACAAGAGGTTCAAGAAGGGAGACTTCAAGTCAAATAGATCCCTACCAACCAGATGACTGCAGATGGGTTCACGAAAGCTCTCCCAGTTCAAAAATACCGAGAATTTGTGAAGATGCTCAATTTGGTCAACATCAAGGATCTTATTCATGACTAGATTGGGTATATGCAGCGCTCAATTTCAACATTGATCGCTGAGGGGGTGTGTCAACCGTATGTGACCGCTAGTCACATAGGAAACCTTCCTATTCCGGATATCGGTATTGGTAACACCGATCCCCGAGGATTATGCAGATTTTTCTGTTATTTCCATGGTTCAAAAGTTATATCTCTTCTAGTTGCCTTTTTCAGGCTAGATTGCTTATTAATTTTTCATGTATTTAAACCACCGTGTGCAGCTAGATTGAAAGAATCAGACCTTCATCATTCGATATTCCTATGGGTAACATTACTAGCAATTACGCCTAGAGAAACGGCCAACACTATCCCACAACACTGCGAACCACGAACCTGTTAATATCTTTCCTCCCCATGTTTAGATTTCCGAAATATAGCACCAGATACTTCAATGAATGTCTGCTAGGCCTGCCTTCTTACTTGCTCCCGTGAAGAGAAAAACCTGTAGCGCAAACAGAATGGACACCTTGAAAAGTCCATGCATGAAGATGGGACAATCGCGAGTCCACATTGACGCTACAAGATCAGTGAATCATTTCGGTCAAAATTGAACTTCTGCTTTTTAATGTCCTCAACTTTACCTTCTTCCGTTAAGGTTTTTTTTAATCCACTCCAACCAAATTAGCTGACTATCTTTGAGGAGCGAGGATCTGCATACCGAATAAATCTCCGAACGGTTGTCTGGCATAATTTTACTGCCAGTTGCTTCCTCAAAGCCACCAAAGAATTGCTCAGCATAAGCTGTGGCGGTCCTCACCGTAGCTGTTTTCTTTTGACTAAGCTGTCCCGTGCCTTTAACGGTACGGACGTACGAGCGGATAAAATCTTTGATGACGACGATACTTGGTGCTAGACAGCCAGACTTGATCCGATATCCTGGTGACTCGTACCCTTCTTCTATCACAAACCTGGTAAGGTTGTGTTAGCAGACCTTAAGGACAAGATACTCTATCCATAGACAACTCACTCCTGATAATCCGCCACCTTTTCCTTGTGTAGATTTTTTGTTTCTTCTGTCCGCTCATGCCTTTTTCTCACGGCATCTTCGTCTTGGTAAGCCTTTGCAATATAGCCGTTTGCTGCCCGCCGCTCACGGCGTTTTCTCTTTATGTCCTCATTCCGGAAAAAGGTTCTTTTGCCCATCGTCTCGTCAGCTAGCTGCAAAAAGATCGAACGTAGAACTTTATGAGAATAGACAATTGAATAAACAGATGGAGAACAAAAGGGAAAGGGCATTCAGGGGATACAGGAAGTGCCTAGGAATCTTGCTTCCATGCTATTGACTGTCATGGAGGAAGGAGGATACCTGCCTTTATAGCTTTCTTGAAAATGATCATCATCGTACTTATGTTGAGTGTACGTTTCACTTTTAGGTCAGCACACGTTTTCAGATACTCTCTATCATATTTCGACTTGCATCATTGTTCATGATAATTTAACGACTTCAAAAATCCTGAGGGCTGTTCATCTGTCACAGCGGTCTAGTTTAGTTTAGTTTAGTTTAGTTATATTTTACGGCCGCGGTTCACCGCCTAGGCACGTGACCCGCCATCCCCTGC